GCACCTGGAAAAGCCACAGACACTCAATGCCAGTCTGTGAAAGCAGCTGGGAGGGAGCCTGTACTCTGCAAAGCCACAAGGGCGGAGCTGCTCAAGACCGTGGGAACCTATATCTTCCATCAGTGTGACCTGGATGTGTGACCTGGAGTCAAAGGAGATCATTTTGGAGCTTTAAAATTTGACTGCCCCGCTGGATTTTGGTCTTGCATAGGCCCTGTAACCTGTTTTAGCCAATTTCTGCCATTTGGAACTGCTGTGTTTACCCAATACCTGTACTCCCATTGTATCTAGGAAGTAACTATCTTGCTTTGGATTTTACAGGCTCATAGACAGAAAGGACTTGGCTTGTCTCAGATGAGACTTTGGACTGTGGACTTTTGGGTTAATGCTGAAATGAGTTAAGACTTTGCAGCACTGTTGGGAAGGCATGATTGGTTTTGAAAAGTGAGGATATGAGATTTTGAGGACTTTTTGAGTTAATGCTGAAATGGGTTAAGACTTTGGGGTGGTTGTTGGGAAGGCATGATTGGTTTTGAAATGTGAGGACATGAGATTTTGAGGGGCCAGGGGTGAAATGATATGCTTTGGCTGTGCCCTCGCCCAAATCTCAACTTGAATTATATCTTCCAGAATTCCCAAGTGGTGTGGGAGGAACCCATGGGGAGGTAATTGAATCATGGGAGCCCGTCTTTCCCGTGCTATTCTTGTGATACTGACTAAGTCTCACAGGATCCGATAGGTTTATCAGAGGTTTCCACTTTTGCTTCTTCCTTATTTTCTCTTGCTGCTGCCATGTTAGAAGTGCCTTTCATCTCCCGCCATGATTCTGAGGCCTCCCTAGCCATGTGGAAATGTGAGTCCATTTAAACCTCTACAGGCATGGTGGCTCACACCTGTAATCCCAGCATTCTGGGAGGCTGAGGTGGGCAGATCAACTGGGAATTCGAGATCAGCCTGACCAGCATGGAGAAACCCCATCTCTACTAAAAATACAAAATTAGCCAGGCATGATGGTGCATGCCTGTAATTCCAGTTCTTGGGAGGCTGAGGCAGGAGAATTGTTTGAACCCGGCAGACAGAGGTTGCAGTGAGCCAAGATTGCGCCATTGCACTCCAGCCTGAGCAACAAGAGTGAAATTCCATATTAAAAAAAAAACTCGGCCGGGCGCGGTGGCTCAGCCTGTAATCCCAGCACTTTGGGAGGCCGAGGTGGGTGGATCACGAGGTCAAGAGATCAAGACCATCCCGGTCAACATGGTGAAACCCCGTCTCTACTAAAAATACAAAAAATTAGCTGGGCATGGTGGCGTGTGCCTGTAATCCCAGCTACTCAGGAGGCTGAGGCAGGAGAATTGCCTGAACCCAGGAGGCGGAGGTTGCGGTGAGCCGAGATCGCGCCATTGCACTCCAACCTGGGGTAACAAGAGTGAAACTCTGTCTCAAAAAAACAAAAAAACAAAAAAACTCTTTCTTCTGTAAATTACCCAGTCTTGGGTATGTCTTTATCAGCAGTGTGAAAATGGACTAATACTTTTTTTTTTTGTTGTTGTTGTTGTTGTAGAGATGGGGTTTTGTCACGTTGCTCAGGCTAGTATCCAACTCCTGAGCTCATGTGACCTGCCTACCTTGGCCTCCTAAAGTGCTGGGATTATAGGGATCAAACACTGTGACTGGCCTAGCTCTGCTGGTCTTTTAAGACATTTTTAATGAATAAGGGTGATATGGTTTGACTCTGAGTCCCCACCCAAATCTCCTGTTGAATTGTAATCCCACTTGCCAGGGGAGGGACCTGGTGGGACATGATTGGATTATGGGGTAGATTTCCCCATGCGTTTCTCGTGATAGTGAGTTCTTATGAGATCTGTTTTTATGTGTGTATATGTGTATGTGTATGTGTGACACTTCTGTTGTTCTCTCCCACTCTGCCACCGTAAGACATGCCAGCTTCCCCTTTGCCTTCCACCATGATTGTAAGTTTCCTGAGGCCTCCCAGTCTTGCTTCCTGTTATGCTTGTGAAACTAATGAATCAAACTGCCTTTCTTCATAACTTTCCCAGGCTCAGGTAGTTCTTTTTTTTTTTTTTTTTTTGAGACAGAGTCTTGCTCTGTCTCTCAGGCTGGAGTGCCATGGTGCTAACTTGGCTCACTGCAACCTCTGCCTCCTGGGTTTAAACGATTCTCCTGCCTCAGCCTCCCGAGCAGCTGGGACTACAGGCACATGCCACCACAGCTGGCAAAGTTTTAAAAAATATTTTTAGTAGAGATGGGGTTTCACTATGTTGGCCAGGCTGGTCTTGAACTCCTGACCTCAGCTGGTCCACCTGCCTTGACCTCCCAAAGTGCTGGGATTACAGGCGTGAGCCACTGCACCCGGCCTCAGGTAGTTCTTTATAGCAGTGTGAGAACAGACTAATATCAAGGGTTATAGGTTTTGATACCACTTACACACTATTAACATGCAATTTCCTGAAATGAACATGTAAAGATAAACAAGGGTTGCTCCAGAGACATGGTAAATAAAGCATTCTAGCAGTGTAGAAATAGGGAATGCTGTAAATAAGCTAGACTCAGAAACCAATGTGAGCCAGGCATGGTGTCTCATGTATGTAATCCTCACATTTTGGGAGGCCAAGACAGGAGGATTACTTGAGCCCAGAAGTTTGAGACCAGCCTAAACAACATAGTGAGATCCCATCTCCGCAAAAAAGACACAAAAATTAGTTGGGCATAGCACACGCCTGTAATCCCTGCTGTTCCGGAGGCTGAGGCAGGAGGACCACTTGAGCCCAGAATTCAAGGCTGCAGTGAGCTGTGATCTTACCACTGTATTTCAGTCTGGGTGACAAAGCAAGACCCTGTCTCAAAAAAAAAAAAAAAAAAAAAAAAAAAAAAGACAGCATCAACCTGTTCTTCAGTGACACCCAGGTTGAGGCCATGAACACAGTTACTTATGAGGGAAAGAAAAATGGAAGAGCCACAAACATAAAATGTCCTACAACCCTCAAACACAAGCAGAGTCAGCCTGTTGAACGTGGAGGTAGTATCACTACAACCAATGCTAATCTCCCAGTTAATCTGTCAGGGGAAGGAGATCCCTGTATCTCCAGGTGGTTGAAGCAGCAGCAGTCCTAGTCCAGGCCCCAGAGAGTTAATCTGGCCTCTCATGGGAGCTGCATCTGACCTGTACCTGTTTCCTTATGTCACAAACTGCTCACATGCAGACTGTGGCGGGTGGGGGTAGTGGGGAGGGTGGGGAGGGCCTGCAGGTGAAACATCATAATCCCAGGGACAACAATGCCAGGAGTACAGGAAAGGCCACCGTCCATGCAAAATTCACACTTAAAGTGCAGCTTGAGAGTCAGATCAGACCAGGGCCATGGTATAAAGTGCTACTCTTAAAAGAGGCTCTTCCATACTCAGCCCCCACACAGATTTGGGACACCCAGCAGGCTGTCAAGTGCGTTTGCCATCATGATACATTTGTACTTAAATGTGAAACATGGTTCAGTAATCACAATTCCCACTCAGTGGTTGAAAATACTATTCAAGGCCGGGCATGGTGGCTCACGCCTGTAATCCCAGTACTTTGGGAGGCCAAGGTGGGTGGATCACGAGGTCAGGAGTTCGAGACCAGCCTGGCCAACATGGTGCGCCATCTCTACTAAATATACAAAAACTCGATGGGTGTGGTGGCAGATGCCTGTAATCCCAGCTACGTGGGAGGCAGAGGAAGGAGAATTGCTTGAACCCAGGAGGCAGAGGTAGCGGTGAGCTGGGATCATGCCACTGCACTCCAACATGGGTGACAGAGCAAGACTCTGTCTCAAAAAAGAAAAAAGAAAATACTATTCAAGCCTGGCGCAGTGGCTCACGCCTATAATCTCAGCACTTTGAGAGGCAGAGGCGGGTGGATCACCTGAGGTCAGGAATACAAGACCAGCTTGGGCAACATGGTGAAACCCTGGATGTGGTAGAGCCTGCCTGTAATCCCAGCTACTCGGGAAAATCGCTTGAACTCGGGAGGCGGAGGTTGCAGGGAGCCAAGATTGTGCGGCTGCACTCCAGCCTGGGCCACAGAGTAAGGCTCTGTCTCAAAAAAGAAAAACCCAAAAATTTAACAGGAGCACCTGGCTTTTAACATGAAATCGTAAATATCCGACTCAAACATAACAAAATAACATACAATTTTATTTGAACTTCGGAAAATCGGAAATGGAAAAACTCAGCAATTTTTCTTATCATGCCCAGGTTAAGAACATCAGGGTTAAGGGCACCACATGGGCACCCATGAATGGAGGTTCTGGTCTGTTGGTTAGCTTAGACAAACGACTGCATTCATCCTCCACCTCTTCTTCTTCTTCTTCTTCTTTTTTTTCGAGACGGGGTTTCGCCGTGTTAACCCGGATGGTCTCGATCTCCTGACCTCGTGATTCGCCCGCCTCGGCCTCCCGAAGTGCTGGGATTACAGGTGCGAGCCACAGCGTCCGGCCCCCCCCCCCAACCCCGCTCCTTTTCTTACTTAAAGACGGCGAACACTTTTTTGTGTCGCTGGAGTTGGAAATAGCTACAAAGCCTGGTGGGAAAGCGTTTATTCCACGGTCCCTTGGCAGTTTCCCACGGTGGGGGAGCAATTTTAACTCGCCCATGGGGAGGCTGGAGCCAAGGTCAGTCCTGGAAAGGAGGAGATTTTGAGGGCAGACAGGGTAGAAGACTCAGGAACGCAGTTCCCAGGACCGGATTCGCAAACCCAGTTCCCGGGCGCTGGCCCGCAACCTCAGCAGGCGGTGCAGCTGACCAAGAGCAGCAGGCGGGGTCGGGGTCACGTGACGGGCGCCGGGCCAGGCGGGCGTGCGCGGGAGCACGCAGAGCAGTTCGGCCCTGGGCCGCGCGCCTTGCGTGCGCGCGCATGCCGGGGGCGGAGCGTGTGGGCCGGGCCTCCGGCGCGCGCTGCGGGCGGGGGCGGGACGGAGCGGGGTGGAAGGGGTGGGCGGGGCCTAGTTCGGCGAGGCTGGGCCGGCGGCGTCGGCGGCGGGAGACGGGTGACCCGCGGCGGGGCGCCTCGGCCATGACTGCGGAGCTGCAGCAGGACGACGCGGCCGGCGCGGCCGACGGCCACGGCTCGGTGGGCTCCGCGGCGGGGAGCGCGGGCTGGGGGCGGGCTCCGGGCCCTGAAGGGAGCGTGCGGGGCCTGTGGGGCTGCGGGCTGCGGGCTGCGGGCTGCGGAGGGCGCCCGGCCGGGCGGGACGGAGGGGTGCGCCCGCGAGCGTGGGTGAGAAGGCCGAGGGCTCTGCGCGGCTCGGGCCGCGGACGCTGAGGGCTGCCTCTTCGCGTCCGTGGGCGAGCTGAAGTTGGAGGGGGATCTCCAGATTTGGGGAAAGCAAGGATATAAAGGGCTGGACCTGGGGTTCGCCGCCGCGGGGATCAGTAAGGTGAGCGCTCCTGGGCCCGGACTCGGGAGAGAAACTTCTGAAAGCGGCAGCGTTGGTTGGTTTTGTTTTGTTTTGACTTTTCAATGATTTTTATGGCGGTGTTTTTAAAAGGTTAAAGCAGACCGAAGTTACCTCACTTTAAGTTCGGGATTAACAGGGTCTTCTGTAAGACCAGGGGTCCCAGTTGCAACCACTTCCCTCCCTCCCACCGGCTTTAAAAACAAAACAAAACAGCGCAGCCTCCCCAATTATTGCATTCATCACTCTAGATTTTTTAAGGGGGAGGAGGAGCAGCGTGATGAATAGAGAGGCTACTGATAAGGCTCTCTTGTTCCCAAAGTCTAAGAAGATTGAAATCAATACAAGGACTTGAGCTAAGATGGTGAGAGTGAAAGAGCCCTGGTTTGGGAGAAAAGCTAATGTATGTCTGTATGAAGAAACTTGGGAAGAGGGCAATTTGAGCATGTCTTCTAGTGTTACTTCGGAATGTTATAACTTTCCACCACCTCCTCACCCCGCAAGTACTGCACTTTTTCGAGACAGAATGGGAATTCTGTGTCAGTTAATTCAAATACAAGTTCGGAAATGAGAAACTTTATATTTGTCTTACAAAGCTGGCAGATACATACCTTCAGGTGAGAATCCTTTTATATCTTTTTACTCTTTTGCCTGGAAGGTCAGTGGTATTTAGTATGAACGCACTTTTTGTTTGTTTAAATTTTTTTATTTTTATTTTTAAGAGATGGGGTCTCGCTATGTTGCCCAGACTGGAATGCAGTGGTTGTTCACAGAGGCGATCCCACTACTGATGAGCACGGGAGTTTTGACCTGCTCGTTTTCCAACCTGGGCTAGTTCACCCCTCCTTAGGCAACCTGTTGGTCCCCCGCTCCCGGAAGGTCACCATATTGATGCCGAACTTAGTGCGGACACCCGATCAGCATAGCTGAACTACAGCCCAGAATTCTGGGGCTCAAGCGATCCTCCCACCTCATCCTCCCGAGTAGCTGGGACTAGAGGCACGCGCCACCGCGCCTGGCAGTTTTTTTGTTTTCTTTTTCTTTTTTTTTCTTTTTCTTTCTTCTTCCTTTTTTTTTTTTTTTTTTTTAGACAGAGTTTCCCTCTGTTGTCCCAGGCTGGAGTGCAGTGGCGCGATCTCTGCTTACTGCAACCTCTGTCGCCTGGGTTCAAGCGATTCTCCCGCCTCAGCCTCCGGAGTAGCCAGGACTACAGGTGTGCGCCACTGCGCCCAGCTAATTTTTTTTCGTTTAATTTAATTTAATTTTTTTAAGAGACGACATCTTGCTTTGTTGCCCAGGCTGGAGTGCAGTGGCTGTTCATAGGTGCGATCCCACTACTGATCAGCACGGGAGTTTTGACCTGCTCCGTTTCCAACCTGGTCAGGTTCACCCCTCCTTAGGCAACCTGGTGGTCCCCGCTCCCGAAAGGTCACCATATGGATGCCTAATTTAGTGCGGACACCCAATCGTCGTAGCGCAGTGTAGCCCAGAACTCCTGGGCTCAAGCGATCCTCCCACCTCAGCCTGCTGAGTAGCTGGGACTACAGGCATGTGCGACCGCGCCCGGCTGTTTTTTGTTTTTTTTCTCTTTTCTTTTTTTGAGACGGAGTTTCCCTCTTTGCCCAGGCTGGAGTGCAATGGCGCGATCTCGGCTCACTGCAACCTCCGCCTCCTGGGTTCAAGCAATTCTCCTGCCTCAGCCTCTCTGGTAGCTGGGACTACAGGCATGTGCCACCATGCCCAGCTCATTTTTTTTTTTTTTTTTTTTTGTATTTTTAGTAGAGACGGGACTTCACCATGTTGACCAGGATGGTCTCCATCTCTTGACTTCGTGATCCACTCGCCTCTGCCTCTCAAAGTGCTGTGATTATAGGCGTGAGCCACCGCGCCCGGCTGTTTTTTGTTTTTGTTTTTTTCAAGAGACTCATCTCGCTTTGTTGCTGAGGCTGGAGTGCCGTGGCTTTTTACAGGTGCCATCCCACTGCTGATCAACATGGGAGTTTTGACCTGCTCTGTTTTCGACCTGGGCTGGGTCACCCTTAGGCAACCTGGTGGTCCCCCGCTCGCAGAAGGTCACCATATTGATTCCTAACTTAGTGCGGATTCACGATCAGCATAGTGAACTGCAGCCCAGAATTCTGGGGCTCAAGCGATCCTCCTACCTCAGCTTACCGAGTAGCTGGGACTAAAGGCAGGCGCCACGGCGCCGGGCAGATTTTTTGTTTTTTCTTTTCTTTTCTTCTTTTTTTCTTTTTTTGAGACAGAGTTTCCCTCCATTGTCCAGGCTAGAGTGCAGTGGCGCGATCTCGGCTCACTGCAACCTCTGTCGCCTGCGTTCAAGCGATTCTACCGCCTCCGGAGTAGCCGCCACGGCGCCTAGCTAATTTTTTTTTCTGTCTGATTTTTTTTTTTTTTTTTTTTTTTTTTTTTTTTTTTTTTTAAAGAGACGGCATCTGGCTTTGTTCCGGCTGGAGTGCAGTGGCTTTTCACAGGTGCGATCCCACTACTTATCAGCACCGGAGTGTTGACCTGCTCTGTTTCCGACCTGGGCAGGTTCACCCCTCCTTAGGCAACCTTGTAGTTCCCGCTCCCGGAAGGTCACCATATTGATGCCGAACTTAGTGAGGACACCCGACCGGCATAGCACACTACAGGATAGAACTCCAAGCGATCCTCCCACCTCAGTCTCCTGAGTAGCTGGGACTCCAGGCATGTGCCACCGCGCCAGGCTGTTTTTTGTTCTTTGTTCTCTCTTTTTTTTTTTTTTTTTTTTTTTTTGAGGCAGAGTTTCCCTCGGTTGCCCAGGCAGGAGTGCAGTGGCTGTGCAGTTGCTTTTCACAGGCGCGATCCCACAACTAATCAGCACAGGAGTTTTGACCTCCTCCGTTTCCGACCTGGGCAGATTCACCCCTCCTTAGGCAACCTAGTGGTCCCTGCTCCCAGAAGGTCACCATATGGATGCCAAACTTAGTGCCGACATCCGATCAGCATAGCACACTGTAGCTCAGAACTCCTGGGCTCCAACGATCCTCCCACCTCAGCCGAGTAACTGGGACTACAGGCACAGGCACCCAGCGCTGATTTTTGTGTTTTCAGTAGAGACAGGGTTTCACCATGTTGGCCAGAATGGTCTCAATCTCCTGACCTCATTATCCTCCCGCCTGGGCCTCCCAAAGTGCTGGGATTACAGGCATGAGCCGCCATGCCTGTCGTTATGTTATTTTTTTGAGATGGAGTTTTGCTCTTGTCCACGCTGGAGTGCAACGGTGCAATCTTGGTTTATCTCAAACTTCGCTCTCGGGTTCAAGTGGTTCTCCTGCCTCAGCCTCTGGAGTAGCTGGGGATATTGGTATGTGCCACCACAGCGGGCTGATTTTGTAATTTTAGTAGAAACGGGGTTTCTCCACGTTGGTCAGGGTGGCCTCAAACTCCTGACCTCAGGTAATCGGCCCGCCTTGGCTTCCCAAAGTGCTGAGATTACAAGCGTGAGTCTCCGTGCCCGTCTGGACCCATTTTTTAAAATGCATGTAGAAAAAGATAGTTGCAGGTTCTGGGCTCCAAAATGAAAGTATGTGCATGGTTTTTCTTGCAGTGATTTCTAATGGAAATGTTACTGTTAGATGTTCACAAGTGCCAGTTGAAATGTGTCAGGATTTTTCTCTGGCTTCAGAGATCAGTTCTATTTGTTTTTAGGACAGTGACTTAAAAACATGGGAAAAGTTTAGTTTGGAAACTATCATAGTGATTTAGAGAAGAGACTATTTTAAGGGAGAGAAGTCATATTTAAATTTGTCATGGTTCAGTCAGTTAACACCATGTGCCTATTAATCAGTGGCATCTTCATTTACCTCTGCTGTAGTTTGAGTAGTGACCCTATTTCAGCATTCTCCATTTGAGAGTTTGTGGGTGAGCTGCTTGATGAGCATTTGTATGTAAGTCACAGCTATTTTGGGAAGGCTTGGAACTCCACTGGCTGTGGCTGGCTGGAGTACTCTGATTCCTGGCCACCTGCAGAGTGATGACATTTTCTGTTCTTCCCAGTGATTTGCCCTATACGGAAAGCTGATAAGCTTGGAATGCTTGATAATGTTTACCCTTTTTATTTTTGCTAATAAAATGCTTAAAAGTTATCAGAATAGGTTAAAGGACCTTACAGGGAAAGCACCTTACAGGAAAGATTTTAATAACTTCTTCCTTGTCTTGGTGAATTTCACGTTAGAATGGATTCTTTTATTTTGAACTCTCTGAGGAATTCTACCTTTCCCTTAAAGGATATTTCATTGTTCTAGTTGTGAAGAGCTATCCTCCCCTGACACTCAAAAGCTATTTAAAGCCTTGACTGTTTCCCTTCCCTTATTGGTCAGTTGTACACAGGACAGACAAAACTCTTTTTGGCCTCCCAAGAATTTTAGTGAGAGAAATATGTAGTTAGTACTCTTGAAATATGCTCTCAGTGTGGACTCGACTCTGAGAGTAGACACTTAATGATATTGCTCAATCTCCCAGACTGCAAACTGGTATTTGAGTATCTTAAAAATACTACGTACTGAGAGGTTCCTGTATTTCAATCAATTCTTGACTTTGATAGCAACAGAGGTTACTATTATTACAGGATAAACAACTTGAATTCAATTTGGTTCTTATAAACCTGTCATTCTTGGCAGCTATACTGAGG